ATAGTCAGGATTCCGACTGAAATATAAAGAAAAATTGGTGTAACTTTAATAGCACAGTTCATCATGTAGATATGGTGTACCATCATTTCATATGGCCATGTCAAGAAAACATCCAGAGTTATGAGGGAAGCAGAATTGTAATTGCATATTACAGCGCATGACATGGTGGGATGGGAGTGTGTACATATACTTTGCAATCTGAGCAGTCGCTGGGTTAGTATGGCTTGGTGTAGCTGGTGTATATATCTGGTAGCGATGCCTATGTGTGGGCTTTGAATACAAACAACGCTCAGCACCATCAATGAAGTTTGATTGACAAACCTCATTGATGGTACTGAACTTACCTTGCATGAAACAAACTGTAACCGACCTCACTGTGATGACGCTTACGTTGTGGAGTACGGAACAAGGGCCCAAAGCATGCGCACTGCGAACACAATAATCTGTGCCACGGGTCACAATTGCTTTGTTGATGTAGAAGAAGGGGCAAAATTGTTACCAAATTTGAAAGATTATCAATGACAATTATATAAGAAAACCAAGAATTTGAATATTCCAGAGTGACAGCAGACTCAACTGATAAGTAGAAGAGTTAATTATTCAATGTGTAATAAATTCTGTTTTCTCCGGTGAACAGAACACATGTAACAGAGGGGTGGAGGGGTGTTAGCTAATTATATACCGTAGTGCAGTTTTTTAAAGGCACATAATATCTTGACAGTTTATTGCACATTTATTATATACAACTGAATATACCCAGTAGTATAAACTTTGAATATTTTCAGCTAGCGATTTTTACAATTTACCGTATTACCCCGGGCACGCGCCCCTCCCTGGGCAAGCGCCCACCCCCTGTTTTCACAAAAGTTACATGTTGGGGACATCTTCGGTTAAACGCCCAGAGTGATTTTTAGCCAAGAATTAGGTCAACAATAAAGTTTTATTTGTTAAAAACGAACGCGTTTGATTTATTTAAATAGTGCGTTTGTTACGGTAGTTCTCTTTTTGGAGTGTGTGGTTTTGTTTGTGTTTTACGTAAAAACTCATTGGAAGAGCATCGCCAGGCAATGGACGCGGGACTCTTTGGCAACGACCAAAAACGTATCCGTGTCCAGCCATTGGTTGGCCACGTAGAGGTCAAAATACGCGTTCAGTTTTGCTCTTCCGTTTCACCCCCTCCGGAATGTTCTACTTTCGCAGCCTAATCGCAGGTTTTTCGAAAAACGTCAAAAAAACACAAGAATTAGTGGAAATGTTTCTATTTGGGGCGGATTATTGATAGAGGATAATGTCTTTATTACAAAAATACTGAAAAACCGTGAGTTTTTGCCTTAGTTATTTTTTTATCGGCGAAAAACTGCGAACTCGGCAAATTTGGTTGCACAACTTCCCTCTATCATGTACACCCAGCGACAACGATGCCAGCTGACTGTGAACGAGAGCTAGCACTTTTGAGACATTGCTACTTTCTTTCCATCCCTCATCACAGCTATGGCATTACGGTCATGTGGATTATTTTTCTGTCGTTGAAGAAAAAAACATTTTGCCGACCTCAAGTCCATTACGATAACCATAATGAGGCATGCCGACGATGGGAACTTGTTGCATCATAATTTTGTCTTGTATGTGGGTGCGTGAATAAATCATGTTAATGAGGTCGACCAGAGTTCATTTTCAGTCTGTTTTTTATGTATCAGTAATAAAAGTTTTTTTTTGTTTCATAACCCTGTCTGCTATTCTTCAGTAATTACGATGCGATGTATCAATACGTGCATGAACAAAATTATGCTAATGAGGTCATCGCCTACTTGGATTACAAGCGGTAGTTTTTCCCGGCCGTTTCGACTTGCACTGATCACGGTTACTAATGTAACCGTGCATTGATTACAATATTTACCATAGTTTGTAGTCAATTTCAGTGAGTAATACAACTTCATTCGCTGACATAAAACAAGTTTTATTCTTGAAATTCGACCCCGTGTCTTAGTGTTCCCACAGATCTTGACCGAGTGCTCACGTTTATTGAAACCTCGCATAAATCAAGAAATAAGTACGTGTACAAAGTGTACGAAAGCATTCCTTTATTTGACCTTATCATACGATCACAAAAACAACTTTTTAAAATCTGTTTTGGGGTGGTACTCGGGTAAGCGCCCACTCGCAATTTTTCCTGATTTTGTATGTTCAGGCCCCTGGGCGCGTGCCCGGGGTAATACGGTAGATGATTTATGACGCTAATATTACCGGTACATAGAAGTTAACACGAGTCAGGGACTCAAGTGTAATTTTCACAGATAAATCTTTTGACAATTTTTAGGAGTAATCGTGAGCTTTGAAAGCTCATGAGTGGAAGAGGAGGGGGATGGAAAATTGCACAACAAATCCTAAATAATATCTGATTGAAATCCAAGAAATATTGTTGGAATACTCAATATATATTACATTGAAATACTGGATTGCAAAATAAGATTAAATCATTGATATAATTGATGTCAGAACAAACAACGCTAGAAATTGGATTCAAAAAGAAGCAGATATTGATCAGCCAGGAATATGAATGCGATCAATTAAAATGTTTGGGTATGTAACTTGTCGCTGTGTGGTTTGTGAATTTATTATTTAATCATTATTCGTGTGGTTATGCATACAATGTTACTATGGCAACCTGTGAAAAACATGAAACACTTTAACTTGTCCATCAATTAGTTGCAGGTTTATTCTGCAAGAGGTTAAAATATTGTAAAATTTCATAAAAGACTAATTTACATGATTCTCAGAAAATTACAAAATATTGCAACAGTGACAATGTTCACTGAGGTCCTTTCTATAAGACAGGAAGTCAAAGTTTTATGAATATCATCGTCACAAATTCCTCTAGTCAAATCACAACAATGTGCAGTAGGTAGAATTTAAATTAAGAGTCGCATCACACAGCAAACAGTTGTAAGAATCCTTTGCAGGAAGAAGACTAATTGCATATCAGCGGTTAACTTTCATCTATCTCTTGTCTGAGCAATCTTGGGAGACGAGTAAAACAACACATCCCTTGGGGAGCAAGTTTAATCAAGAACTACATATAACTAGTCATTGTTAATGACACAGTCCCCGTCCCAAATTTTGTGATCTGAAATATCAATTTGATGCTGATGAAGTCATTGAGATTAGATTGAAACCATTAATAGGAGATGGATTTGTAAAAAATTATGATTTAGTGCTTTTACACAAGAATTGGACATTGGGCAGTCATATTGAATCAAGTTACAAAAAACAAGTGGCGTACACAACAGATTGTTTATTTACATCAAAACACGTGTTCCGTGTAGTAGTAATATGGCCAAAAATAAAAACAGCCGTTATTTGGCCATCTTTGATCTGATTATGAAACACACTGATATGTATGATGTATGTGCCAAATACGAATGAAAATGGTACATAAGTTGTGGAAATATAGTAGTAAGGCCAAAAAGTCAGATTGCTGTCAATCGACCATCCTTGACCAGATTTTGAAACAAATTGTCATGGACATGCATCCTAACATATATAAAGTACATGTATGTGCCAAATTTGAATGAAAACTGACAGAGCACGTGCAAGATACCGCATAAAAAAAAACCCACAAGATGCCTGCCAGTCGACCATCTTTGATCCAATTGCGAAATAAATTGTACTGGACATGTATCCTAACATGTATAATCTATGTACCAAGTTTGAATGACAACTGACAAAGCATGTCCAAAATACAACATTTTCAAAAAACAAGATGGCTGCCAGTCGGCCATTTTGAATCGAATCACTAAACCACTGCATGTGCATATGTCCCACATAAGGTACTAGGCACATGCAAAGAATGAACTGAATCAGTCCACAGGATTCTGAAATATTACTATTGACAGACTGATGCACGAACAGACGGACGGACAGACTCAGGAACTCATGGATGGTCGGGGACATGTATCCTAACATGTATGATCGATATACTAAATTTGAATGAAAACTGACAAAGCATGTCCAAAATACAACATTTTCAAAAAACAAGATGGCTGCCAGTCTGCCATCTTTGATCCAATTGTGAAATAAATCGTCATGGACATGTATCCTAACATGTATAATCTATGTACCAAATTTGAATGAAAACTGACAAAGCATGTACAAAATACAACATTTTCAAAAAACAAGATGGCTGCCAGTCGGTCATTTTGAATCGAATCGCTAAACCACTGCATGTGCACATGTCCCAGATAAAGTACTAGGCACATGCAAAGAATGATTGGAATCGGTACAAGGGATTCTGAGATACGACTCCGGACGGACGCACGAATGGAGACCGAATTATAAGTCCCCGTTTTCGGACTTCGTCCGAACGGGGACTAATAAAATGTATACAGATATCCCTTATATATATTTATTCTACAGGTTTTTGTGTATTTTCTCAGTTTCGGAATTAATTTTCGCTGAAAAGACTTTTTGGGCGTTTTGTATGGAATTTATTTTCACAGATTTTTGACAAGTTTGAATGTAAAATATAGAAAAAAAATGGTATATTCGCTGGATTTTATTTTCACTGAATCATTTCTTCAGTGAAAATAGAGAAAATTAATTCCAAGCGAAAACAAAGTATTTTACGGTATCTATATATTAAACTGCAACATCGAAATATTGATCCACCGGCAAAAAAAATTGAACATTCAAATTATGGAGAGTGCAATTTGTTTTCAAAATAAACAATTATATAATTGAAGTTTCGAAAACAATCTGCAATTTCCTAAAGTTAAGTTAAGTATTTTATAATTGTTATCAATTATAACGACTAAGTGCCAAAAAATAGACAATGCAAGCTCAAGACTATGGTTTTAATCAAGCCAGAAAAACCATGAAAGACTCTTGGTTTAATGCTCAACATTATTTTATTCACCAGAAACTTATTAGTCAATAAAAATACACTACTTTATATAAATGGCTTCTAATAGAATAAATATGGTATTTAGTTTTGGGAAAAGTTTTTCTTATGGTATTGTAGTAATGTATGCACTTACATAAATGACACAGGTGCATCCATGGTTAAAATAATTCAATTCTTGGTTTACATGCATTTCTATTAGAGACGTGCTTTAAATGGAGCAAATATGGTAAGGACCTATGCAGTACTGGCAACATATTTGAAGGGTATAGTAGGTTATAATTTCTCTCAGATGTACCGGTACACAGCATGCCTGAGATCATCATACCCAGCTGCATTAGGATCATCCACTGCTTAGGTTACAGGAATTCACAGATTCAGAAGATAAGGAACCATCATAAAAACGAAAACATTCTGAGGCTAATTCAAAGGGTAGTCATGTTGACCCAACTTCGGTTACGAAGCGATAACCCTGGTAATGGAGAAAAATGCTCACAGGCAGTACAGACTGGGTGGTGCTTGACAAATGAAAGTTTCACCTGAAATAATATTCAACTGCTATATCTGGAATTCAACTTTGTAGACTGATGCCTCCAAAAAGTTGGAATCTGAGATCTGAGAACTCAGAAAATGCACGAGTATGCTGTTAAATAAGTACACCAATCAATTATAAACATTTATGTTTTTGTAAGAAATTTCTATGATTACCCAGAATGCATTGAAACACATTACTAGTATTCCCGACTTACAAACTATGCATTTAGCCAATTAGCATACCGATCCTATGATCACCCAGGATGCATTGCATATTGATCACACACTTGTGTCAGATGAGTACATGTCTGAAATCTGAATTTACAAACTTCAGAAATATGAAGAGATTTATAGGAAACTTAAGTTTGAATGATTATTTAATTATTCTAGGTGATTTATTCAATTAAATAATTCAAAATCTAGATGGCAAAAGTGTGAAAAATCTTGTTTGAAGTGCTTACAAGTGAAGGAGTAATGGTAGTCAGTAACAAATGGCATTACTAGTCAGTAAATTAACAGGCAAATAGAGATTTTTTCAGGCAATAAATCTGCTCGGGATTCGCAACTTATTGAACACACTTGCCGTTGAAATTGCAATCGTCAGCAAATGATGTCCACATGTGATCTGTCATGATCTGAACCACTTATTTATAGTATTTTTTTTTGCATCCTTACATGCAAATATTCGGTGTAAACTTTTGAAACATTTCAGTTGAGACAGCGAGATGCTGTTTATGATTGTAAGATTTTGGAAATACTATGAATAATAAACTAATGAATCGGTCCAGAGTTTTGTAGACAGGTCTTACATATGGGACAGTCTGTGCATGCGAGTTGCCATGGTAATGTACTGAAGTCATGCAGATAGCCATTCAGTAATGACAGAGAATGCAGTGCTGACTACGTATTTATGTAGTGATTTACCAGGCCATTCTTCAGAGCATTCTCAATGTCTGGATTCTAAAATTTCATTTCGCGAATGCCCGAAAATTATCACAAAAATTGACCGAGGTAGAATGGTTCACAGTAGTTTACTATTTACCTTGGTGTTATTGGTTGACCATCTTTCCACCATGTGACTGTAGGTCTAGGATTGGCATTCACCGCACATTCCAATACAACGTCTCCGCCTTCCAAAACTTCTGCATTTTGTGGTCTTGAAGCAAATTCTGGTCGCCTAACCATTGAACCACCTGGTGAAGAATACATTCAAGTTTATTTTAGTTTTTATCGTTATTAATAATAGTTTCATTTGCATATTAGGAACAAAATTGACAATCAGAAGTATCAAAGCAACCAATGACTGCCATACGATAAGAGCAAGTTGTTCTCATTCATATTACACCTTTTAGTTAGCGTTCAATCAAAGCAAAAAAGTTGTGTGACGACTGAAGATTTCGTTTGTGAGATTGGTAAGCCATATTCTGTTTCTGCAGATGCATAATAGAATCACCACTAAGCACTACACACCAAATAAGAAATTTTCAATAGTAGTTTTCAAGAAAAATTTGAAAAGATGACAGTCGAACGCCAGTCGGTCAGCCAGTGCAAAATAATTCGTTTTATTTTAGAGCATAATATCAGAGTTGTTTTACTAGGGCAGAACAACGCCAGTTTTGCCTCCTTGAAGATGACAATTTTTAAGATCCCTCATGTGGAAAAACACACTATGCTGAATTCTCATGTTAAACTACAAAGCAAAGAAATTCTGACATTCAGTGTAGATTTTGTGAGAGCAATAAACACAAAGGCAGTCTCAGACAGCCTTAGGAGACGCCCTTTTAATAACACAGAGTGGAGACATCCTTTTAATAACAGGCAAACGCATTGGACTTTTCAAAGTGAAACAAGAAGGAACAGTTTTCAGCATATCGCAGACACTCCAATTTATCTTTTGACGAAAATGCTGAATTATAATCTCTGCATTTAAGTCTTCTGGGTGCAAGCATAAGTGTCTCATATGCACGAATGTTTATTGCAACATCATACGCAAGTACAAGAAAGAACTCCATCTGTCTAAGGTCTGTGAACGATAGCAGAGTCTATAATCATGGTTACTATCAGTAACACAGTTGAACATTGGGATCCAAATATCCATATAACATACATACGATACAAAACGATGTTAGCTTTTCTGGAAACAAAAACTTCGTAAGAGATGTCACGAACATTTGATGTCCGAAAAAAAAAATTAGCGTGCAAATAAATTTCTGAAGGATTAAACTCACTGAAAATGATTGATAATGACGCTTCTTCACTTCGCCGCATTCCTTCAATGTTTGTTGCTCGACATCGATAGTCGGCTTCGTCTGACATCTTGACATTTTTTATTTCGAGAGTACCGCTTTCTAGTTCTGTATACCTCTCGTCCACATTAGTCGCAAGATCTAAATTTACTCTATTTTTCTGCCACCTGGAAAAGATGCAAGATTGTTAATTTTTATGTATTACCGTTTAACACCATCCTAAAAATAACTACATGGCAAAGTAAAAGAACACAAAATTACAAGTTTAATGTTGGTGTTCAACATCGATTGAGAATTGTTCATGGAACATTCCATGCAAAAAATCTGCAACATCTGGATGCTCGTGTATCACTAGAAGACGCTCACATAATACAGGAGAATACTTGACACATTCTTTTGTGGGGGGGACGTAAAACTGACAGAACATTACCTTATAACAGCTCCAGGAACTGCTGTAACTACACATTTAAATATTGCTGTATCCCCAGTATATACTGAGGTAGACTCTGGTCCCTCGTCAATTCTACCTAAATCTGAAAAATAACAGAAATAAATAATTAGATATGCAGCCAAGTAATCTCACCTTTCATGATAGCTAATTTACAAATAAATCTGCATGCGTCAGCAGCACACTGTTGACCCACCAGCAAGATTACTCTAGATCAAAGTTTCTGGGAAGCACTGGCGAGTCAAATAATACAATACCATACCATATCAATCACATTTATTGCATTGCACTATGTGCATTGCCCACTTATTGTGCCCACCTCACACATCTTGATCAAGCTTTTTACAGCAGCACACTGCAATTCAAATAGCCTGTCTAATACAAAGTTATTGTATTTTTTGTAGCCGATCATTTCTCTAAAAGAAATGATTTCACAGACATAGACGATCATAGAAGTTGGGTGGCCAGGTTAGTGTTTCTACAGAGTAATTTTTTATTTATATTACAGATTTGCTTTAGTTTAAAATGAAAAAATAAAAAAAAAAACATGTATGTAGTACAACCTACAATGAATCACTGTCGATAATACATAATGAATGAAAATAATGATACCAACTAACACCAGATATATCTCTCCCCTATATTCACTTTTCAACCCAATAACAGATAAGACAAACTGAGGAGAATGAAATAACAATGATACCAACGAACACCAGACAGATCCCTCCCCTATATTCACTTTTCAACCCAATAACAGATAAGACAAACTGAGGAGAATGAAATAACAATGATACCAACGAACACCAGACAGATGCCTCTTATATTCACCTTTTAATCCAACCAAACAGACAAACTAAAGGTAAGGTGTAAAGAAAACTTGAAAGCCCACTCTAACATATTGTATGTAATAAACTCTGGAGAGAACAACAAATTGGTATGTAATCAATTAGAAACATCTGAACAGAAAAACAACCCATCAATTGGTCTTAGTAATTCTGTGAGTAGTGGACTTGGAAAGGAATATTACACAGACCCTATTTGATTAATAAGGTTAATAACTTATTAACGAAATTAATCAAATTTATAGCCATGATTTTTGATATAACCTATCAGACAACTTGTTATAATTATGTAAGTATAAGTTGTAATACCGCACAAGCTAGTTCTGTGTAAACATGCATGCCTTATACAAAGAAGCACAAACATGCGAAAACAAAAATTATAGTAAATTCAATAATGACCTAGTATGTTACTAGCACACAGCACATACATTTAGAGGTTAAAAATAACGAATAATTTATTCACTTTATTAACCAACCAGGGTCTGCTACAGACAAATCAGTAGACTTATTTGGTGAAAACCTAGGACAACTATTGACTCAGCAAATGGATTTTGGAATACATGAAAACTAACTAGCCTTTATACACGTTTACATTCTATTAAGCGAGAACAACTCACTTGAGTTGAACACAGCGACAACTACTAGAATACACAAACCAGTCGGACCATCTCCGAAATCCCAGCGGTGCCAGACAGACATCAAGCATGCATGACATTAGCTACACTGTGTTACACATGGGGGACTCCAAATACAGTGTCTGCGACAGGACCCGAATGTAAATCAACTTGAATTTCAACTTTTCTCTGCAATTAGAAAGCATTGGGGACCTTCTCTTAATTTGTACAGGTTTTGAACAAGTTGGACACAAATCCTTCGAGGTTAAGTCGAGGGTATGAAGCACAGCAAGGGCAATCAGGTCAAAGTAACTTCAGGAATAACGATAAACTGTGCACACATAAGGCTAGCAGAATTTATACGACAGATGATTATGTCTTATCTTGATACTTTCTAACCAGAGGGTAATGATCAGAATCGAAGTCTCTTATGGTTGTATCTTTATCAACGTGAACAGTAATCGTCATACACACATACAAGATTCTGGAGAGGGGCAAATTTGTAAGGTTAATAAGTGCCTTGAAAACTCTTGAATAAAGAGTAGTAGTATACATGTTAAACCTTGTTAACCTTGATTTCCCTGGATATTTGTGGGTGTGAGCAACTTTACCAGGCTTATCCCAAATTACCGTTATATAGAAATATAGAACTCCCAAACTTGACCTGGCAAATTGACACAAGTATTAGTGAAGATATCGGTACATGTATCAGTTTGTAACTACTCACACTCACTCTCAGCAAATTATATTTGTCACTGGCAACTACAAATTTTACAAATTAGGGCTTAAATTGTTATTTAACTTAGGCTAACAAACCGATTGGTATCAAGATTCTGGAAGCACCGCATGTACAGGCGGTTGAGCGTGACAATGCAAGTTAAAAGGGGTTAATATGGTTTTTGTCTCGCTTTTTGTATCAGAAACTGACATTTTGTGAGTCGCCACTTGACCCAATATAGTGATGTATATAAAGCCCCCCTCAAGGGGGATTAACTCAGAGAAAGAGTCTTTATTCCGATGAGGAGTGGTACATGATAAAGCCATAAAGTAATAAAACAGAAGTATTCATCTGATTAGAGATGATCTGGATTGAGTCATTCTAAGACTGTCACAAAGCAGTTGCGAGGACACAACCATTAGCCAAGCCATTTACATCATTACTGCCGAACACCATCTGCTGTAATTTTCTCTACCTTCCGTATTACACACAAATGCTAATCCTGTGTTTCAAACCAATTTTATAATTACCAATGATTAGGAAGCAGACCACCATCTCTTACAGTACGTTGTTCTGCTTTTTTGGCTTCTTTACTTTTTATTCGTCATTATATACATTCCCTATATTGTCGTTCTCTTAACAAAGCATACACAAAACAGTATACTTAATTTCATGATTTATCAAGTCAAAATTTTGCAAAAATCACTGTGTTGCAGAGCCCCAGGAGAAATTTTCTAATCATAAATATCTTTCCATTTGCTCGAAAAAAGACTGAAAACATTAAATCGTACTTTCAAATACAGCTACTTGTGCTTTAAAACAGCAAGTCAATTTAAAACTGAATCCACAGGAAGTGATATTCACATCATGAAAACTTGCGGCATTTTTGAAGGACTAAAAAAAATGTGAAACCACCACCTTGAACAAAAATATATCAACTTAATTTCCTGAGAAAATTTCTCATATAAAGAACTCAATCACAACATTTCCGGCATAAATCCAGTTTTCTTTTATCACTAAACAACAATTCTGTTCCGCTTAAGTGAACTTTTTATAACTCGGCAATTTTCATATTTACAAGAATACTCTCGTCCACAATGCTATTTCC